ACACACACACACACACACACTATAAGTGGAAACAACATGGCAGCCGGTTGTTCTCTCAGTGCCCGTCCAAACAGAGTAATATTAGTTTGCCTGTGAACCGGAACCAGGCGTCTACTATGTGTTTTTGTTCCCCCGTCGCTGTGTTGACTCGGAACATATTTGTCTGCTGTCAACAGACCGAAACAACATGAGACCGTAACACCGTGTGACTGTAACACTGTGTGACTGTAACACCGTGTGACTGTAACACCGTGTGACTGTAACAACATGAGACCGTAACACCGTGTGACTGTAACACCGTGTGACTGTAACACCGTGTGACTGTAACAACATGTGACTGTAACACCGTGTGACTGTAACACCGTGTGACTGTAACAACATGTGACTGTAACACCATGTGACTGTAACACCGTGTGACTGTAACACCGTGTGACTGTAACAACATGTGACTGTAACACCGTGTGACTGTAACACCGTGTGACTGTAACAACATGTGACTGTAACACCGTGTGACTGTAACACCGTGTGACTGTAACAACATGTGACTGTAACACTGTGTGACTGTAACACCGTGTGACTGTAACACTGTGTGACTGTAACAACGTGTGACTGTAACACCGTGTGACTGTAACACCGTGTGACTGTAAGAACATGTGACTGTAACACTGTGTGACTGTAACACCGTGTGACTGTAACACTGTGTGACTGTAACAACGTGTGACTGTAACACCGTGTGACTGTAACACTGTGTGACTGTAACACCGTGTGACTGTAACACTGTGTGACTGTAACAACATGTGACTGTAACACCGTGTGACTGTAACACTGTGTGACTGTAACACCGTGTGACTGTAACACCGTGTGACTAACACCGTGTGACTGTAACAACATGTGACTGTAACACCGTGTGACTGTAACACTGTGTGACTGTAACAACATGTGACTGTAACACTGTGTGACTGTAACACCATGTGACTGTAACACCGTGTGACTGTAACACCGTGTGACTGTAACACTGTGTGACTGTAACACCGTGTGACTGTAACACTGTGTGACTGTAACAACGTGTGACTGTAACACCGTGTGACTGTAAGAACATGTGACTGTAACAACATGTGACTGTAACACTGTGTGACTGTAACACCGTGTGACTGTAACACCGTGTGACTGTAACAACATGTGACTGTAACACCGTGTGACTGTAACACTGTGTGACTGTAACAACATGTGACTGTAACACTGTGTGACTGTAACAACATGTGACTGTAACACTGTGTGACTGTAACACCGTGTGACTGTAACAACATGTGACTGTAACACCGTGTGACTGTAACACTGTGTGACTGTAACACCGTGTGACTGTAACACTTTGTGACTGTAACACCGTGTGACTGTAACACCGTGTGACTGTAACACCGTGTGACTGTAACACCATGTGACTGTAACACTGTGTGACTGTAACAACATGTGACTGTAACACTGTGTGACTGTAACAACGTGTGACTGTAACAACATGTGACTGTAACACTGTGTGACTGTAACAACATGTGACTGTAACACTGTGTGACTGTAACAACATGTGACTGTAACAACATGTGACTGTAACAACGTGTGACTGTAACAACATGTGACTGTAACACCGTGTGACTGTAACACCGTGTGACTGTAACAACATGTGACTGTAACACCGTGTGACTGTAACAACATGTGACTTGTAACAACATGTGACTGTAACACTGTGTGACTGTAACAACATGTGACTGTAACAACGTGTGACTGTAACAACATGTGACTGTAACAACGTGTGACTGTAACAACGTGTGACTGTAACAACATGTGACTGTAACAACATGTGACTGTAACACTGCATGATGCTGCTCGGCGGATTAAGAGGTTAAAGTGACGGATTTATGAGACGTTGTTTACTGAAGTAAACACAGCAGCACTACTTTTAAATGATAGATGAAGTCACATCCGTACATACAATGTTTTGACAAACATACGTTGAAATATGCTCATTTTTGAAGCTATAGATGACAGTGAGTCGGATGGATGAGAGAATCTCTTCATATTGAAAAGGAGAAGGTCTACATGTCTAATGTTGTTGCCAATATAAGTAAAAGTACATACATAGTGATGTTTACACATCTGGATGGAACCTCACAAGTGATCCCTTCATTATGACATAATATTAACTAATAACATAGTTCAAACAGACCTCATGGCTGCACAGCTGCTCTTTTTTTATCATTTTATGGGGATTCCCTTCTCGAGCAGGCGGGCACAACACGGCTCAGTTTTCATGAGTAAATCAAAGCTAACAGTACAAATACATACAAGTACTTCCAGTACTTGTGTGACTTCCTTACTGCGTGTGTGGCAACATGCACAAGTTTATTCATTTTATGCACAAGGACATATTTGCATGTGCTTGTGTGTGCAGATAATTCATTGCGTGTGTGTGTGTGTGTGATGGAGGTGTTTGTGCTTCACCTCCTCCTCCTCTTCTCTCCGCTGTAATAAACAATAACTGGGCATTAATCTCCCGGCCTGCCGCCTTAATAAATAATATCCACACATTCATCAACTTAAACTATTCACAATCAATGCGACTCCTCATAGAAAACCCACCTAATAAATAGTGGTGCGGCCCGCCGAGGCGTGAACTTATAGACCGGCCCGCTGATAAATGAACCGACCCCCCAGCCCCCCTCCCGCCCCCCCAAGCCCCCGGACCCTCCGACCCCCCGACCCCCCACGGCGAGACGCCTTTTATGTGGAAAACTGCAAGTGAGAATTTTTTCGATTTTATATGACACTATTTTACTGGTATTACTGTTCCCCTGTGTGTGTGTGTGTGTGTGGTGTGTGTGTGTGTGTGTGTGTGTGTGTGTGTGTGTGAGTGTGATTTATCGCTTGTTTATGATCTGGGGGTGTTTACCTATTTCTAAACTGGTGATGTCACAGTTTGTCTCAGCACTTCCAGAATAAGAAGCGATTCATTTGTACACACACACACACACACACACACACACACACACACACACACACACACACACACACACACACACACACACACACTCAGAGGGATTTACTACACAATGCAGACACCTTGTGAGATGGGAGCTGCACGTAGTGATGATGTCACTATTATAACTACCACTGATTAGTTGCTGCTCAAAGTTCAAATAAAAGTCAGATTATAATCCAAACAGGAACGTGAGAAGCACGTAAATCCTCTTTAATTCATCACTTCACATTGAGATCAAGGTTGTGAACTTTATATTTTAATTTTAATTTTAATTGATGAGTTACTTTTCATTTTAGGTGCATTTATCATTTTGTTTGATAAACTGTTTCCCGGCAGAAGAGAAGTGGGTCTAAATAATAAGAATTATTCATTAATAATGTTTCCTATGAGGATGTTTCTTTCATGATGCGTAAAGTGAAACTTTGTGTAAGACAAACATTATTCCTGTAACGAGTTCACTAAGTAAAAGTATTAATATATTAATATAAAATCATATATCAACCAATAAAACAAATAGTACATTTGTTGATGAGGTCTGTCTATTTATATGTATATAATATATATATATATATATATATATATATATATATATATAGATATATATATATATATATATATATATATATATATATGTGTGTGCTAATATAGTGTCGAGCTTCCATACAGCAGCAGATATAATCTCACTCTGTTTCTATTTCTATATCACACACACACACACACACACACACACACACACACACACACGTGGTGATAAATGGTCCAGTCGTGATCTCCGCTTGCATTGTTGATGAGGGTCACGTTGCCATGGTTACTGGAGCCGTGTCAGACTCCACCCCCCATTGTGTGTGTGTGTGTCCATCATTTTGTGTGGTTGTGTTTGCTCCTCCTTTGTTTGTCTGAAAGTGGTGAAAGTTTATTTTTGTCTCCACCACGTTAACTTTAGTTCATCTGCTGGTTCAGTGAAACTAAAACTTGAACAAGTTGAACTATTTAGTAATAAGTAATACTGTGGGCGGGGCCCCGGGTCGGTTTAAATATAATTACCTGTTCTTATTAATACAATTTGTCTTATAATTGTGGTTCCCTTAATTTGCTAAACTAAAATAGCTGTTGCCTCCAACATGGAAGGAATACAGAATTGAAGTAATAATGATTCTTATTAAGTCCCTTTATCTTATATTTGAATGTATATTCAGCTCTTACCAGAACTTCAACACACCAAACGGACCTCAAAGGCGTTTAACCAAAAGAGTCCACTGGACCTGACCTAAGCCCCGCCCCTCTACCTGCGAATGGAGTTTGATTGGCTGTTAGGCCAAACCAATTGACAAAGACTGATTGATGTTTTAGACTGTGTGCGATTACACACACGCGCTGAATCTACATGTAAAACAAACTATACTCATTTGCATAAACTACAACCTTTGATCTGAAATATTATTCATCTGTAATTCAAATACCTTTTATCTATTGCATCTATTTTTTACAGAGATCTGTGCCCTGGCTTCACTTATTTTAATTAACACTTAATTGAATTAAATGTTGACACCACTACGTTCTTTTACTTGAAGTTGACTTGTGGATTTGGCGCCTCTAGTGGAGAAAGGAGGAAGCGTCTTTAGAAAGCTTCTCATTTCACTACTGGACTCGTTAGAGAGTCATTTTATACTGTGAAACATTTACACAAAGTACACTTTAGTATAAGATGAGAATACTTCTTCCATCACAAGCGCCAATAGTTTTTGCACAAAAAAAACGAATAAAAAACCTGCGCAGATTATTAGTGAAGTGAATTTTGAGCTCAACGCGTTGTTCTTTTTAATGAGTGAATTATGTCTTTATCGTGTATCAGCTCCGTCACACCAGGTTCCACTTTCTTTTACTTACACGCGTGATTTCATTCTTTCATCATGTTACTGTAAAAACCAGAAGCCTCCTCACCCGTCTCCCCCCCCCCCTCCCCCTCCAGACCGTACCAGTGTGGCCACTGCTCCCAGTCCTTCTCCCAGCCCTCGGACCTGAGGAACCACGTGGTGACGCACTCCAGCGACCGGCCCTTCAAGTGCGGTTACTGCGGCCGGGCCTTCGCCGGCGCCACCACGCTCAACAACCACATCCGCACGCACACCGGGGAGAAGCCCTTCAAGTAAGTAACAGTGAGTACCCCCCCCCCCCCCATCACCCCCCCCCCCCCCCCTCTGACCAGCCTCCCTCAGATGTTACAACCAGCTAACGCGCGCTGACACCTCATCACCGCGTCCTGACCTCCTCGCTGGAGGGGAGACGCCTGCTTTCATCTCATTCACCCGAATGCTTTGTCAGACAGTAGAAACACCCCCCTTCACCTGCCCCCCCCCCCCTTCACCTGCCCCCCCCCCCAAAAGATACACAAGTTATAAAATATAGAAAAAAAATACTATTTGTACATTATAAAATAGATGATATACAAGAACCCTCTTTAAGATCAGTTTATTTCCAAATATCTATAAATCCACCGTTGATTTGACAATGCGGAGCTCTTTCCTGTGGGGGGGGGGGGGGGGGGGGCGGGGCTCTGTTGGCATTAATGCAGCTCGACGCCCACATTTACACAAGAGGATCCATTGATCAGCTCGAAGGGTCGAGGCAGCATGGATTTCTTTTAATGCGAACGCTCTTCTGCTGACCCTGAAATACTTCATAACAACTTAATAACCATCAATAAGGATCATTGATCATCGCGTTCAACCGACGAACCCGAGGAAACGTCTCATGGGGCTTTAGAAAACATCATCGTACAGTGTGAGGAGATCCCGGATTCATCTCGTTTCTTCTCTTCTGCTCGTTAAAACGTGTTGGGACGTCACGGGGGGGTTCGCCCCTCCCCCGAGGAGACGTGCTGCGTGGCCCCTCCCCCGAGGAGACGTGCTGCGTGGCCCCTCCCCCGAGGAGACGTGCTGCGTGGCCCCTCCCCCGGAGATACGAGTCATCACACGGAGAATCAAACCTGCGAGTCTGAAGACGTCTCACGTGAACCACGAGGAGCATTAAAATGCTTTGATGGTTCAATGTTTCCACTCACGTAACCATGACAACAGACATTTAGGCTGACTTCATTTCGCCAATTCTCACCCGACTACAGAAACCGTAAAACCTCTGAGATAATCACTTGGTGGAAGCTGCTCTCTGTCAGCAGGGGAGGGCGATGAAGACCCCCTCAGGGGGGCAAAGGGAGGGGGGGGGGGTCATAGTGTAAAAAGTGAAACGGCATCTGGGAGAGAAATCCGCCCAGAAGCAAATCAGCGTTCTTAATAAGCAATTGGCGGAACCCCCCCCGCCCCCCCTCGCTCCGAAAAAAAAATCCTTTTCATCAGCACTTCAGAGTCTCGGGGACAAAGACAATCAGGGACGGGGGCGTCAGAAATCTTTAGCGGGTCAATGGCCTCAGCGAGTCGCCTCCTCTCGGACGGGGCGTCGAAATAGATTAAAAGCTGCCACTGTCACTTTGTCATGAGGAGGATGCTCAACTTTATCCGCCCCCCCCCCCCACTCGGATTCTGTGTGGTCGGCAGCTTTCTTCTCTGCTGCCGATACTCGCTGGACCGCGGAGATGAAACCTCCTGAAATAAAAGCATCCAGAGATCTCACGTAGTTCACATTAAAGCACCAGGCCTGGTCTCTGATTGGCTGAGGCCTAAAGAAAGTGACCGGTGGGACGTCAGAGTCAGTCAGTGGGGGACCGGCTCGGTCTTAGTCCTGATGGACCTCAGCCTCCTGCCAGATGGAAGGGGCACAAACAGGTTTTGTCCGGGGTGAGAGGGGTCGGCTACCATCTTTTTAGCTGCTTCAGGGTCCTGCAGGGACGGCAGATTGCAGCCGATCAGCCTCTCTGCAGAGCGGAGGACACGCTGCAGCCTGCCCTTGTCCTTGGCTGTGGCTGCAGCGTACCAGACGGTGATGGAGGAGCAGAGGATGGACTCCATGATGGCCGTGTAGAAGTGGACCATCATCGTCAGCACAACGCTTCAGGGTGTGAGGGGAGACGGAGTCCGGGCCGGCTGCCTTACGGGGGTTTTGTCTTTTAAAGGGTCGTTGCTGGTCTCTGATTGGCCGTCTGTCTCCTGGCAGCGAGGCTACTGAGGATTCTGGGTTAAAACACTATAAATAATAATAAAACAGATGATGTCATCACACACACGTCCGTTCATCATCGTTCTTTTACTGAGGTTTAAAGTGCTGCCAAATCAGAAGATATTCAGCTCAACACAGAACTAGGGCCTCTTCTTCCTTATCTTAGTAACCCCCCCTCACACACACACACACTCCTACCAGCCTACCTACCCCCCCCATCTATCTAACAGCATATTAGTCTTGTTTCAGGGCTGTTAAGTCCAATTCCTCAACACTGCGTTCTCTTTGAAGCCCCCCCCTTCCGCCCTCAACACATACACAAATACACACACATACTCTTATATACCTACCACCCCCCCCCCCCCAGCTCTGACTAAAAGCTCCGTCTCTTCTCTCTTTTGATTGAAAGTGACAGTGGCGCTGCTTTATCAGACCTGGACATGTGTGTTTGTTAAAGTGTGTGTGGATGGACCCCCCCCCCCACTCTATGCAGCCCACTTGATTATTGACAGGAGGACCCGTGTGTGTGTGTGTGTGTGTGTGTGTGTGTGTGTGTGTGTCGGTCAGGTTGTGAAGATCAGGGCAACAATTACAGCTCGCTGCTCCGCTGAGCCTCACACACACTTCATGCTGTCACTGGATATTACAGTTAACAGGGAGGTGTGTGTGTGTGTGTGTGTGCATGGTATGTGTGTGTGTGTGTGTGTGTGTGTGTGTCTGTGTGCCAGCGAGTAAAAAACTCACGGAAAAAACTAAATATATTTTGACTGTTTTTTTTCTAATTAAACCAAAAATACCAGAGATACAACAGATGTTACTTTTGGTCAAAAACAAGAAGGTTTACAGCGACCTCCGGAGGCCGTGCAGCGGCCTGGACTGTTTGAAGGGTGAGGAGGTCAAGAGGTCAGCGAGTGTCCTCACAAAGAGAGAAGATGATTGTGCGTCTGCTGTTTTAATTCTGACCTTCTCTTGCTGCTTAAAGCTAATAAATGTCTCTCTGTGTTTTATGTGTGTGTGTGTGTGTGTGCGTGTGTGTGTGTGTGTGTGCGTGTGTGTGTGTGTGTGTGTGTGCGTGTGTGTGTGTGCGTGTGTGTGCGTGTGTGTGTGTGTGTGTGTGCGTGTGTGTGTGTGTGTGTGTGCGTGCGTGTGTGTGTGTGTGCGTGTGTGTGTGTGTGTGTGTGTGTGTGTGTGTGTGTGTGCGTGCGTGCGTGTGCGTGTGTGTGTGTGCGTGTGTATCAGGTGCGAGCGCTGCGACCGCAGCTTCACACAGGCCACTCAGCTCAGCCGCCACCAGCGACTCCCCAACGAGTGTAAACCCGTGAACGAGAGCAGCGAGTCCATCGAGGTGGACTAACCCCCCCCGACGCCGCCCCCCCCTCCGACCCCCCCACCAGCTGACGGACACGCGTTCACCTCGAGGCGGCTACATTGTGACGCTTCTTTTCTTGTTCTTCTCGGCCTTCCCCACTTCCCCAGACCCCCCCGGCCCCCCCCCGCATTGTTTTAACGGACCGACGGATGGATCCGTGTCTCTGTAACGCGTCCGTAACGGAAACGGAGAGAAGTCGATGCTCCTGGATGCAGTTTGTGTGATTTAAACAGCCGGGGGGGCACGTGTATTATCTCTGCACAAACACCGGGTACTATCTAAGTACTTTCTACTGGGTACCTCCAGGTATAGACGTGGTACTTTTACCTCCACTACACCTCAGACACCAGTTTGTGTTCCTCATTGAGCCAAAACACGTTTTCCCCTGAAGGCCTCGTGTTGAATAAACAGCTCCTCCTCAACCTGCCAATTATTATATGTCTTAATATTAATGTCAATATTTTATGTTGAAAAATGTCCATATGAAAACTAGGAGATCGTCTGCATAGAAACACATTGTGTTGATGTTTGTCGCCTGGCAACCAGAAAATAGAAGATGTACCGAAGACGCATCGTCATTATTGACGAACTTTGTCTTCACATTTAGTCGCCTGAGTGAAAACGTCGGGACTTTAAACAGACTTTATGACTTTAAAGGACTTTAAGCGACACTTTCATCAAACCAAAGATCCAGATGAACTCTCAGAGCGATGCAGATTTCTTCCTTTGGGGGGACAAGGATATTTATTGGAGACTTTTTGGGGGTAGTGGGGGGTCTGGTAAGGTTGCCCCTCCGAAGAAAAAATACCAAAAAGAGTGCGACCTTTTGTCTTCTTTTGTTGTTTTTATTTCTTTCTTGCGACAGCGATGCCAAAGGAGGGACGGAGACCAAAGCCAGAGGACACGAGGGACAAGGCGGACGTCCCGGGACGAAACAGGTTTACAAAATAAAATGACACCACAGAGGATGTATTGTACAGAAAATAAAAAATAAAAATACCAAAGGAGGGAAAACCAACATAAATTATATTTATCTTCTGGCACTTTGGTTTTAAAGTCATGTCATATTTTGGTGTTGATGGATGTAAAGACGGTGGAGAAAAGGGAGATTTCTTATAGAAATAATCCTCCAGTTGTCAGCTATGAAGTTTACACACAGCATGTGTTTAAAATGTACTCTTGGTTCAAGTTGCTTTGTCTCTTTCTCGTTTATTGAAATCATTTTCTTCCCTTTTATCTTCCGATGAGCATAAATGTGACTTTTCTCCTGTTTGCGTGTAAATAGTCGCTATGATACACTTTGTGTTGAAAGGACTCGTCACACGGGCTTAAAAAAGCTTTAACAACAGTAAACGTGTGACTCCTCCCCCAAACACCTGGAGCACAACCCTCCCAGTTCATTTATTTATTTAAGTCCATTTCCCATAGAACGCAATGTGCTTCCTGCTGCCTCAGTAAGAACTTCTGCAGAGCGTCCAGGACCTGCTTGTCCTGCAGAACATTTTTTGGGGACTTTTAAACACATTTTCACATATTTTTATTTTGGGAGGTTATTGTTTCAGATGCATTCAACTGTCTTTAAAAGTTTCGAGGATTAAATATGAAGTTGCCTCCATCTTACATGTGTGTCGATGCTTTGCAGGCATCACATGTTTGCTGTTGTATCCCCAAAAGGTCACCAAATCCCCTGAATATCAACGCTTCAAATCCACAAAAAGGACGAGTGAGAAATATATAATCAATAAATTCAACACATTTCAGAGTGTTTTCCGCTCATAAACTCTGAATAATTAGTATAATACGGGTAGATGAAATGCAGCGCTCTGATTGGTTGAGAGTGAGTCAGGGTGCATTATTGAGCGGTAATGTACAGTTGCTGTTCACATTGACTCGAGCGTTGCGTATCACTGCGCTCACAGTAACAACTTAGATTTTGTGCGATCGTTAGTTTACATTTCAGCTTTTATCTCGTTGGCCGAAAAAAAAACCGGAAATCCCACAAATGATCGTTTTCAGGCAATGTGAGCTGGATGTACATATTTATACAAAGATCTTCTGTAGGAAATAATTCTTTCTATTGTTGAACAAGTTTTTAAACAGCTTCATATCGACACGATCATTGTGGGAAAAGGAGAAAACGACGTAAAACTTTCATTAGAGTTGAAATTGTTCATCCTAATATTGTATTTCTCCTCTTTTTGTCCTGAATACAATTATTATTCTGTTATAATAATAATGATCATCACTTACTTGTCCATCGTTGTCCTCGCTCTTCTGTGATTGGGGCATTTATAAAAAGGGGTGTGGCTTCAAAATGACCTGAGATCATCACTTAAATGTGTTTTTCAAGCTCTGCAGATTATTTTTTTTTTTTACAAACCGCCACACAGGAAGTGGAGTTACTGATCAACAGCTGCTAATAATCTGTAACACACACACACACACACACACAGACAGACACACACAGCCTTGACCTGCGCTCCATCAGTCCTTCCAGCTTCCCGTCTGATTTTAGAGATTATTCCATCGAGGATTCAACAAATTCACCAGAACAAACACGTCTGCGGCTCCGACGCATCAATCAGGGCTTTTTTTTTACTGTGGGAACCAAACAAGTGACGACTCAGCCAACAGGCTCCGCCTCCTTTCACGAACACGTGGAACGAGGCCCGATCACGTCGCACGTGGCGGTTTGTGGAAGTGGTCGTTTTAAATGTGTTCATGAGGAGAAGAAACAAACCGAGGACGACCGACACAAAGAAACAAACACGTCCCTCATGATTGGATCTACTGAATAACAACAAGAGAAGAAGAAAGACACCAAGAATAACAACGTCAGGTTACACAATGTGTGTGTGTGTGTGTTCAACGGTTGTGTCTGCTTATGGGTGGAATTTCCTGTGGGGGGGGGGGGGGGGGGGGGTCGGAGGGGCAAGAGGTCACACTTTCAAAACCAATTAGACATGAAGCTCAACGTTTTGTTCCTCTTAATTGGAAACATGTTGGAAGGTTTTACTGTGAGAAAATTTGTCTTCTGCTGATCTGAGGGTTAAAGAGTGTGTGTGTCTGTGGGTGTGTCTGTGTGTGAGTGTGTGTCTGTGTGTGTATCTTTGTGTGTGTGTGTCTGTGTGTTAACTGATTTACAAAGTTGGATTCCAACAACTGGAAACATCAGCTCCTTTTGCTCCCTTTCAAACACAAAATGTTTTATGTCAAACAGTAATATTATGGTAATGTTTTATATATATATATATATATATATATATATATATATATACACATTGTCGTAAAATATAAAAATCATAGAAAAAAGGTAACAATATATTAAAAAAATTAACATGGAAAACAAAGGGGCGCAGGGAACCAGTGGTATGATGTCGTCTCCAACATAAATAAGGAAAAAAAACAATATTCAACAAATAAAAATAGAATTCCAAAAAAGAAGTGAAGGCAGAACATCAGAAACTAGAAGAACAAGCTGGATAAAATAAATCCAAAATGAAGAGTCAGAGTATAGAATCTCATAAAACCTCTTGAATGTCATGTTAAAATCATAGTTCAGTATTAAATTAAAGCATAAATCAGAAATATCTAAAGATCAATTCTGTGACTTTATTCAACGTATTAGCACCATCTCATTAATAATACATATTTTATAAATATATTCAAAACACCAAGGATGAATAAAAAAAAGACCATTTAGACACCAGATGTTTTCCCCAAAACAATTTATTGAGAACAAACTTAGAAATCAGTTTGTTCTCTGATGATAAAAATAAGTTTCACAGCATCACAAATATTAATACTTTCTACTCTGTACAGACTCATATCGCACTAATAACTTAACAAATAATCGTTTTAAAAGATCAAAGAACCGCTCGCCTTCTCACGTTCACAAGCGCAATGACAGCGGTCATAAGTCAGAGCCCCGCCCCCTCCGTCAGAGCCCCGCCCCCTCCCTCATGGCCTCCTGGATCTGCCTGTTGAGCTCGGAGATGATCCGATCCTCGTGGGTGTAGACGCCGGTCCTCAGCAGAGTGTCTCTCTCCTCCAGCAGGCGGCTCAGGTGCTCCTCGGCGCCCTCGTTTGGGCTGCGTGTGGGGGCGGGGCCAGCCGAAGAGGGGGCGGGGCCTAATTTGTCCTCCTGCTGCTTTAATCTGTCAAAGAAGCCACCAGACATTCGTTCATTAAAAAAACATTGTAACAACAATGATACAATTTTTTTAATCTATTGATTAATATATATATATATATATATATAATTAATCCTTTTGACTACCTGTTAATACTACCTGATGTACTCAGACATTTATTCCGTGTACTACCTGTTGTCCCATTGACTGTTACTCTTGTATTTAATATGAGTTCTTGTTTTTCATACGCTGACTTCTCCGTGTTTCTTTGCGACGGATCCGTTCGTCGTCGCTCTTCACCTGTTGAGTTGGTTCTTGATGTCGTCCAGCTCCCGCCTCTCCAGTTGGACCGCCTCCTTCTGCTCGGTTGCTAGGTAACGCAGCCTCATGGCCTCCAGCTCCGCCTGCTGCTTCTTCAGGCGCGTCATGGCGTTCTCCTGCTCCCGCTGCAAATAGAGGATGAATGTACGATGGGGGGAGTTTCCTCACAGAGGTTGTGTGTGTTTCAGAAGTGAAAGTCTGCAGCGTGGAGATGATTCAGGGTTGAAACGAGCAGGAAGCTCAGCAGAATAATTCATCTCTAAAATCTACTTTATTTACATGTGAGAATAATTCAAGGGAATCAACAGAAGAGATTACACAGGAGAGCGTTACGTTCTGCCTTTCACAGAGCAGAGCCTGAACGCATCACTGACGTGGACCTGTTGGCCGTTAGCGGCTAACGTGGCTAACTGGTTGTTAACAATGTCACATGAACATTAATACCAGGAACAAGTCTTTATGTCGGAATATGGAGGGGAATCCTTCTCCCCCCAGCATCGTTGTTATATATATATATATATATAAAAAAAACATAACATGTGCTTTCAGGGCGACAACGTGAGTTCTTCAGGCCGCTGCTGGTGTTTTTAGAGCGATAAGTAGGAGATAAGAGACTGCGTCTGTTTGTGTGATAACGTTTAACCTCTGTGTTAAAGTTCAACACGCTTTATTTGTTTTAGCGTCGCTATGGAAACTCGTTCCTTCAGGGGAAATGTGCAGAACTAAAAGGGTGGCTTTAAATCGGTAACTATCCCATCAGCTCTCTTCATCCAGTTCTAAACATGGTGCTCAGGTACCATGCTGTGAATGGATGGGGTCCAGCTTACATCCAGGACCTGGTCCAACCCGACATCCCGACCTCTGACCTCTCTGCTCTGCATGTGATGAACTGATTGTTCCTCCTCACTGAGAGCAAAACACTCCACTAGATCTCCACTCTCTGCTGTCCTGTCCTCCTTCTGATATCTGACAGACGTTCTTCTAGTTTCAGCTTATTTCTGACACATTCTTTGTAAAAGTCTCAGAGGAATCGGAGATTAGAAAATGTTCTCCTTTTTGGGTTTTTTGTTGATGTTGTTTTTGCAGTCTGGTTTTCTTCACTGAGTCCACAGAGGTTGAACTAATAAGAGGGAACCATCAGCGTCTCCACTGGGACCAGTACCACCGCTGTGTGAGGCAGACAGGGGGGGGGCAGGGGGGCATTATTGACGTTAAGCCATTGTCCTGCAGGACCCCCCCCCCCCCACCCGCTGGTGGACTTTAACAAAGAAAGAACCTCGTTTGGGTCCCGACCTTCTTCTACGAGTTCAGAACTTTCATCTCGTCCCCCCCCCCCCTCGCTCCCCCTCCAGGGAGAACTTTTATGATCCGACTTCTTGAGCTAAACAGAGCGCCATGCGAGGCGCTGAGCGCATTTGTGTAAATACACGCTTGATATCTTAGAGGGGGGGTGAGAGGGGAGGGGGGGCGAATATACACACAGACTGAGGAGTTAGCACTCGGCTAGCTGGTTGCTCAACGCAAACCCCAGGGATGATTAATGTGTGTGTGTGTGTGTGTGTGTGAGGGGGGGGGGACACGCTCAGCACCGAACCCCCTTAGAGCTGCATAAATCACACCGTGTTTTCTTTACAATGATGTGGCACTTAGAGCGGGGGAGGAAGGGGGAGGAAGGGGGAGAGGAAAAAGAAAATAAAGGAGGGGAGGATTAAAAAGTGAAAAAGAAGAAAGGAA